GAAGTGAAGTGAAGTGAAGTGACGTGTGCTGTATTTTTTTCACTAAACCACACGGAACGAACCAAGACGCAAGCATGTGCTAGTTTAAGCATCATTGAACACGCGTACCATTGTTTCATTTAAATTAAACTGCTCAAACGTTTTCTTTTCCTGTTGCCTCTTCCAGTCTTACCATTAGCTTTCTGGTGCATCTTCTCATGCTTGAATTTCCAGGCGAGAGGTTTAGACCGAAGTTATAATGCAGCGGGTAGATTGTGGCCAAGTTAACACAGAAAGCAAACGAAACAAACAAATAAGAATGAGAGGAGCAAGTGAAACGTATGCGTGTTTCTTTGATCAAACTGGCTACAACCATCAATGATCAACGAACCCACGAGTTCCAGTCACGTAGAAAGACTCACGATGGTACGGTTTCTGATTTCTTCATACAAAAAGACAATGACTGAAAAGACATGCTTCTTTGCATGCAACTAAACGAGACAAGAACCAGAGTGAGAGAAGAAAGCACAAGCGACAGGGATAACGGCAAAACACCAAGCTAAGCTTGACGAATTTAACGAACCATGCGTGCCTTATTTGTGCTTCAGTTCGTTCACATTATCTTACCTTTTGTTCCTCTTACCCTTTATATTTACCAAAAAACTTAGTGGTGAGATCCCAGAGGAAGGATATAACGGTAAAATGAAGGGAGTGAAACAAACATGAGAAAAGGTAAAAGATGCGCGTTCTTTCCCTGCTGTTATCTGGCATTGTTTCCGCTTGTGTTCCACTTTAGTATTGGGTGACTTTAATGGTAGGCGCTTGAGGTGGAAATGGAACAGACGCAAAAGTCAAATGTTGCCTGCAGACACTGTCAGCGCAAGATGCAAACTGCAAGACAGACCGGGCAAGCCCAAGAGTATCAAATAGTATCGATTCAAATTTCAATCGGTTCAATCGGCATTTTTTGTGTGCGTGTATGTGTCTCAGAAAGTGTGTGTATGTGTATGTGTGTGGAGAGGGGCTGGTGTAAATGTGAGCGTGCTTATTTGTAAAACAGAGAAATGGTAAATCATGGCGTATATGTGTAAACGAGGAAAGAAGGTAGATCTTTGTGGGGGGCACCGAGCACATGTGTGTAGATACATATATATATATATATATATGTGTGTGTGTGTGTGTGTGTCTGTGCATGTATATGTACAGAATACGCCCCAGTGCTTTTCAGTCACGATGCTCTAAGGCTAACATCTCACGGCGTTTGAGCGCAGCTGGCGAGAGTATGGAGCCGGGCGGTGCTGTCCATATCGGAGAAACAGTGGCTCGCCTGTAGGCTTCAGTCTTTTCGGTAGAGAAGTGCGAGTATGGTCAGAGTTGGGGACGCTCCCAGTGCTTCTTCATGTGCCGAAGCAATGTGAGGAAGCGTCGCGGCGCCTATCTTCAGAGCCTGAGCTGAAAGTGTCCGTTGGGCGGAATCTCAAGCAGGGGACTGCCGATGTTCAGTCTTGAGATCGTAGCCCGAGCACGGGGAATTTCTGGACCTTCCTGAGGTGCGTTCTGGACTTGGCATTGGGGGACCGGTCACTTGGCAGACGTTTGTTCTAAGGTTTGGGCGGCTTAGGCCTGGGCTGGGGCTTCCTCTGTTCATACGTGGATGTGATGCTGTCTCATGAGAGAAACGCAAGCGCCAGTCGGCCGCCTATTGTGCAAGACAGGCTCTGCACATGCCAGAGACAAAGTTGTGCGAGCAGGCCAGCCCCACTTCCTCCTCGGGCCTTCAGCAAGGCAAGAAGAAGGTGTCTCAGCTAACTATGGTGTTTGCCCTGCAGCTTTGGCGCTGCTAGCTCAAACAGTCGACAGCCGCTGCTAAGTGGCTTGAGCTTGGTGAGTCCGGGAGGTTCTCGAGATCCAGATCAGACTAAAACGGAACAGTATCTTCAATAACTCGGCAACAACTTGCGTAGTCAGAAGGTCGAGCCCATCCATCCATGAATCATCCATATATCTATACATCGTCATCCATCCATCCGTCTGCCGTCTGTCCATCCGTCCCTCAACCCCTCCATCCGTCCGTCCATGCATGCATCCATGTGTCCGTCCATCCGTCCGTCCGTAACATTATATCAAGCAACACATAGACTTAGACGCACATAGACACAGTTAGGCAGACAAACAAATAAGCATGCACACGTTATTCAGTGAATCAATCAGCCAATGCTTGCATACACACATGTGTGTACATGTACACTGAACACATGTATACATGCGTACATGCATATTAATGCCAATGGATACATTAAGGTGTGCTGTCTTGCTTAGTAGTTGGGCCTGGTACGGCCTCGGCCATCATTCGCTCCCAGTGTGGGGGTTTTCAATGTTTCCAAGAGGCCGTCTCGCTGGCGATCATGAGTTTCTCTGATTGCGATCACCAGTTTCTCCCTCGTTCTCCCGCTGGACATGTTCAATCACAGCATATGTTGCCGCTTGCAGTGGTGCGTCATCCGACGCAGAGCCTGATCTGCTTTCCCAATTCTCAGTAGCCCTGTTGTTGCACGCTACGCTTGTTAGTCTTGTCGCCACTGAGGCACGTCGTCCGAAAGCAGCTCGGCCGATTGAAATGGATTGAAGAGCTGAAAGAGAAAAGGCCTGTGATAACAGAGCTACTCACATGTTCCACAAACCTAAGGCATTGACACGACTCGGACAAAGTGAAGATGAAGAGATCCTTCCATCGCCTCTCAGTTGCACTTGACTTCGGTGAGGCTGTGGCTGTGTCGGAAAGAGGCTAACTGCATGTCTTCCAGGACAGATACCCAGGAGGACGCGATGCCGGAGGACCTTCGATACGGCTTTGTCGGATGCTTCTGCCTCCCTTTCTGTGGAGAGCTCGCAGATCTGCTCAGGAGGTCATGCCAGAGGAGAATGTAGATATAACCCCAGAGGATGCAAAGTGCACTGCTGCGGCCACTCCGAGCAGCTCTGCAGCAGTCAGAACGGGACCAGTCTCGGCTGTTCAGTTGGCGACGCACTAGTACTCGATGAAGTTGTCAGAGAGAAGCTTGGAGGGTCTGCAAACTGTCAGATGCAAGATGCACGTCCGGCTGTCAGGTGGGCTGGCGCAGCGAGTTCCGGAGAGTGCACCGGCTCCTGTGGCCCGGAAGGTCACGGTAAACATCGCACGTAGCTTCAGAGAACCTCGTCGTGGCTTGTTTCTATGCGCATACCTCGGCAGGTGCCAGCAGCACCTGTGCAACCGCAGCTGGCCGCCGGCGAGAAGGAAATGGAAATGGAAGAGGGGAAGGACGAGGAGGAAAAAGAAAAGGAGGAGGATGTGGTGGAGCAGCCACGTGACTACGAGAGGCCCAAGAGGATTGACCCTCACAACACTGCTGCATCTTTGATGACCGGCCGCAGCCAAAATGCGGATGCAACTTGTCTGGCAATAGGCCTCCACCGCAGCCCGAAGCTTTCGATGATGCACAGAAGCAGGAAGCCCTAGCGTTGACCTATAATACAATACAGCCCAATACAATACAACAGAATATCACGAAATTAACATAGGGGCCAACCTTTCTTTTCAGAGTTTAGGGTTTAGGGTTTAGTAGTTTAGTAAGTTTAAGGTTTAGGAATGTAGTAACTTAGTACTTTATTGCTTAGGGTTTAGGGTTCAGTAAGTTTAATGTTTAGTAATTCAGTACCTTAGTACTTTAGCCTAAACCCTAAACCCTAAACCCTAAAGCCTAAACCCTAAACTAGTATTTTAGGGCCTTGTTTAGGACCTGGAGAAGATGGCGCTCGCGGACATGGCTGGTGACGCCTTGGCCGTGGCCGCCTACGCACAGTCGGCGCTGGAGAGCTTCCAACCGGCCTCGGAGTCTTCAGGGACTTTTGGCTCAGTTTAGGGGTTTTTAGGGGTTTAGGGGTTTAGGGGGTTTTAGGGTTTAGGGGTTTTAGGGGTTTGAGGGTTTAGGGGGTTTTAGGGTTTAGGGGGTTTTAGGGTTTAGGTTTTAGGGTTTAGGGTTTAGGGTTTAGGTGGTTTTAGGGTTTAGGTTTTAGGTTTTAGGGTTTTAGGGTTTTGGGTTTTTGGTTTAGGGTT